TCTATGCTATCGCGTTTGATGGCAGACGCATCGCCACTGGCAGTTTGGATACCAGCGTGCGGATCTGGGATCCGCACTCGGGCCAGTGCCATGCTATCCTCCAGGGCCATACCTCCCTAGTAGGACAGCTACAAATGCGGGGAGATACCTTGGTCACTGGTGGTTCTGATGGGTCTGTCCGGGTCTGGTCGTTGACCAAGATGGCTCCCATTCACCGACTTGCGGCTCATGATAACAGCGTTACCAGCTTGCAGTTCGACAGTTCCAGAATCGTCAGTGGTGGTAGTGACGGTCGTGTCAAGGTGTGGAGTTTGCAGACCGGCCAACTACTCAGAGAACTGTCGACACCGGCAGAGGCTGTTTGGCGAGTTGCCTTTGAGGAAGAGAAAGCTGTGATCATGGCTAGTAGAGCAGGCCGCACAGTGATGGAGGTAAGGAACATTCGCTCATTTTTTCCCTTGTCTCTTACATTTTACCACAGACTAACCGGGAATGAATGTGTTCTAGGTCTGGACTTTCTCACCACCACCCGAAGAAGATGGCGACGATGCTGTGATAGTGGAGAGTGCTTCCAGTACGCCGGGTCTGCGCCCCACGAGTAACGACAGCCGACATAGGGAGCGCTATTCGGACCCCCCGCCTAGTGTGCCGCTCAATAGTGACGATGACCAGGCCATGGTGGATGCCCCGGCCTCTTGACTGGGGATTCCACCTTCGCAATGACTAGCACGTCCTTCTTTCCTGCTTTATGAATCCAAGCGTTACCGTCTATATACCTATTGTTTTAGCGCCTGATTTCAACGACCCGGCTGGTCCAACCTGAGTGTCGCTAGGCAAACGAGGCGCGGTCAGCGTTGCCAGGTCATCGAACATCAGCATTCGCATTCTGGGTGTTTGGTCTAAACGGATCTCTTTTCTTTCAATTTTCCGGTCTTGTTCTCGAAATTTTCATGGGAAACGTGGAGTGGAGTTACAAAATGGCAAAGGGTGGGCTACTTGATGCGTTGTACCTGCAGGAGTCTTAGGGGCACCGTGATTGGCTCATGATATGTTTACCTCTACTTTTTGTTTTTCGAGGGTTAGATGATACCCGCCTCGGGAGATGATGTATTTACCATTTACAGACGATTTGGTGTTTCTACTGTTGGTCCTACAAAGCGAAGACATTGAGCTTACCTTTCACCACGACTACACCCCAGCGTGCCTTGTCTCCCTTGGTGAGGTTTTTCTTTCATTTGTGTTCAGATAGTCAGTTCTTAGAAGTATCCCGAAAGGGCTCCGAGATGAGAGGAATAGAGACCAGAATAGATAATAGCGTATGCATCAATTTAAACGAAAGGGGTCGATAAAGTGCCGTAATGCTGTGGGGTGGTACATGTAGTCGGGGTTGTTTCTCGTTGATAATGGAGATCACCTGACTGGCCCCTCAAAATGGCAAGACCCCGTATTCTACGGTTCTTTGTGTCGATCCTTCAAGGCACCAGCTGCGACGACGCCATCAAACTTTTGATATATTCGCTTCACGAAGCACTTAAAAAAATTGTCCTCATCTATGTCGCTTCCACTGCATGATCTATCCCGCAGCTGGGCCCCTATTAAGTAGACGAAGATGGTGTACGGCGGGAAGCCAAGTACGGGGTGCCATTTGTGTCGCAAACGGAAAATCAAGGTAGGACAGATCTGCAGACTTGACATGTCATGGCACATCATGCCCCTTGCATATCATTCCACCCCAATGGGTATGCTGTTCATCTGTATGACCCCACGCTAAGCTGCCTCTCAGTGCGATGAAGGCCGTCCGGGGTGCCGAAACTGCGGCATACACGGCAAGCCATGCCCGGGCTACCGACCGGATGGGATCTTCCGGAATGAAACGTACAAAGTGCAGCAACTCATCCATGGCAAGGCCAATGCCTGCTCTTCCTCGTCAAGTAAACAGCAGCCCAGCAACCATGATGTATTAAGCGGCGGCAAGGATCTGCAAGTGGCGACATTGCCCGCTTATCATATTAGCGATTCCACATGGGAAGAAAGAGCAATCTGCTATTTCTTCGATCAATTCACCATCGTGGAATGCAATGCACTCGGCGGCATGGGACATCTGGGGTTCCTTCCGTCTTTGTATGCTGACTGTCGAGATCAGAATCTGGGTAACCCCGCATCATTGTCTTTACGATTAGCTGTCGATGCAACGGCCCTGATGGCCCTCAGCAATAGGGTTAATGTGCCCGGGGTTGTGACCCAGGCGAGACATCGCTTTGGATTGGCGCTGCGACGTCTGCAGGAGGCGTTGGATGTGCCGCTTGAGGCGGCGAAGGATGAGACGTTTGCGACGTTGGTTATTCTGTCTTTGTTTGAGGACATCTCGGGAGATCGCCATGGGCTTACTAGTGCGCATACGGTGGGATTTGAGGCGCTTACGAGACTGAGGGGGGAGAGTCAGCTGGGACATGCGGCGGGTTTGGATATGTTCAAGTATGCGTATGTTCGTATGGTGAGTCAATTCGGATGCCTCTGTTTAGTAATGGATGGGTGAATGCTAACGGATAGTCCAGCAAATCGAGTTCCTTTTGCTAAAGGGGAAACCCAGTCTGGACTCTGATCGACTAGTTGAGCGTCTCGACAGCGCAGATCCGCTACAATCCCTTATGATAATTGCGTCCAAGGTCAGAAAGCTGATTTCAGAGCCAACATCTGTTTCGGATTCCTTGCAATCTGCGGGGATCACGAAGCTAGCGTCATGGATCGACTCTTGCAGACGCTTGGATTCAGAACTGTTTCAATGGACCCAAACCTTATCGGACATCTGGCTACCCCTCGAGACCCGATCACACACCGGTGAGGATGCACTCACGTACCGAGAGATGATTGCTGCGGTTATCTGGGCCCACTACCGTGTCCTTCGAATCTTCATCCACAGCGTCTTGGCAGATCTCTTCCGAGCACTAGTCTCTCTGGTTGACTCCCCCGGTATTCAGCAAGAAGCGTCTCAGCATGAGGCAGATGGCCTACGGCTAAGCCTCGAGATGGTCTCCGATTCTTGTCGGAGTGTACCATTTTGCTTTGGGGAGATTGATATGTTTGGAAACCCGATGCCACCGTCTGAGCAGGGGATGTCTCGGGTTCGAGCTTTCTACCTCTATACTATGCTGTGGCCTTTGTGGTATATTCTGTCGTGTGGACTGGCTACGCCCGAACAGACGCAGATGATCCGAGGCGTAATGGCCCGGACGGGCTCGGAAGCTGGCATCAAGCTGGCTACTATGTTGGCGAGTTATGATGGGCGGGATGTCATGTCGAGCATGCCACAATTGTACTCTTTGGAACGGCCGGTGAGGGAGGTGTCCGTCATGTAAGTAGGGAAGGTCGGACTCATGCACATGGGGTATCCCGCGGGGCTAACATGAGGTTGGACAAACTTTACCTGTAAATTAATATGTATATATTTGCTACTCGTAATAATTCAACTACTGCTTCTTGGAAAAGAAATAACCGCAATGGACCGAACTTGGCTGGGGCCTGTTTCAAGCCATCGGCCGATCATTGCAACGTAAGTCTTACCATTGTCATCATTCATGATACGGATTATCACTATTTGATAAAGCTGGATTAAATTCGTCCTTTGCCCAACTGCTACATCGAGGTGGTGTCTCCCTTCGGATCTTTGAAAGAGAGAAACAGTCAGTCTCAAAAACACGTCCTTATCACCTGCCCTGGTAGCTGCAAGTTAGCGATACATAATTTGCCGAGTTCCCTTCCCTAACATGGATTAGTGCCTCTCAACCAACCAGGAAAGCGATGTGTTACGTAGGCTCTCTCTAGATAACCCTTGATACTTCTGCGGAGAACCCATGACACACTCCACCACTCTTAAGCGCCAGGCGTGCATTGCATGCAACCTCGCATGCATAGTTCCAGCCAGCCACCAGCTGGAGGGAGAAAAGCAACGATGGAAAGTCTCCTTGGATAGAGGTGTCTAAAGCATTGTGCGAGGGGCGCCCTACTTTTACATCTGTCAGGTTGCATTTCAGTTTCAGTCCACAACTCATCCATTATGTCGTCGCTTCGGGAAATAGACAGACCTCTTCCGTAGACTCATGATGTCAATCCCATATATAGTCTTTATGTCCATCCCTAACTACACTACTACAATCAACTCCGTGTGCATCTTAATGCATGATGTAGATGTCTGCAACCTCTGCCGTCCAACAGAAACAAACATAATGACATCAGCACATCTATCAAACGACCCATGATCACATATGCAAATGTGTTCACATTCCTACTTGGATCTTCTCTGCAATGCTAGGCAGAGGTACCCACTACCGACCCATCGAGTAAGTGCTCAGCGAAAAAAAAAAAGTCCATGAGGGATATATTCCAGTGTTTCTCACCTATGAGGTATAAAGAACATGCAATAGGGGCGCTTGGAAGTAAGGCAGCCACTGAGCACCAGTGGAAATTAGTAGATAGGGCCTAGAATGTCGCAGGTGCTGAAGTATGCATGTGGGGTTGAACGGCATACCTACTGCACATCCTACTTGCCACTTACTACTTCCTGCATGTCAGTGAGATATAGTGGGTATCTAATTTGATATAATTCTAGTACAGAGTAGTTCTGCCAATCTGCCAATACCAAGTTCCCTTCTTTTACAGAGAATCTATGACGCACAGTCATATCAGGGCAGTGGTAGTACTGCACAGTTGCCTTCTAGTATAGTGCTTTTTGAGCCAATTGCAATGGCAACTGATATCATGTATACGCGTCACTGACCGATAGTCTTGTGGCTGCCTGATGCACTAAAATTACTCAATGCATCTGCGGTGTGGTTGCTTCTACAGACGCACCCGAAATGTCCTTCTACCCTTCACATTGACAGACTGTTTTCGGAACCCTAACCCTACTGGGATTCTATGTACTTACCATTCATGTTGTAGCTAGATAATCCTGCGACACATCATCATCATCATCAGTACCAAGGAACCTTGCGAGCATTTGTCCAAGAGGGAAGACATGAGGCATTCTATAAGCAATTCACATCGGCTCAGCTGATAGCAAAAACATGTGGTAAAAGTAATAACTGCCAGTACGACAACCAAATAGGTATATATTAAGCCAATATTGCAAGAGATTAGGAAATGTAACGGGTAGCAGGCGGTGGATGAAATTCAATGATCGAAACTCGAGCCTCCAACTATACAGTATGAGAGTAAAGTGCGGCCATCAAAACTGCCGACCTTCTTCAAAGGATAACGCAGGGGCAAATCCACCCCTCGTCCGGCGGCGGTTGGGGAATACCCACAGCCCTCATCCTCTCTTGCAACCTCTGCTCCTCGCGTACCTTTTCCCCAATCGTAACCCAGTATTCGCTATCGCTCTTACCTGTCGTTTCCCTCTTCGCATCCTCGATCAGATTTACCCTTCGCCGTGCCTCAAGATACGACCTGTCGTGTCGCTGAGTTTCCAAGATCATCCGCACAACGTCCTCGTGCAGAGTTCGGAGCAACCTCTTACCATAAGCCAAATTATCCGCCCCAGTCCCCGTCATACCTTCCAGCGGCTGGTATGCCAAAGCACCCTCCAGCAGCATGATGTTCTTAAATGCCAAGCATTGATTCTCGTCTAGACGCTGAATAACGTCTTTCTCGATGCCCATAACACGTTGCTCTTGCGCCTGTGCAGTGTCGGCATTTGCTGCAACGTCGTCTCTGCTCGGAAGGAAACTACTGGCTATCAAAAATGGGATCAGGAAGGGGAGGCCGATAAAGCGCATAACAAATGACCATAGCCAGCTGACGGAGCCTGCGATTTCACCATTGAGCTGTTTGATCTCCTCCTGACGCCGATGAATCGCACCGTTGGGCTGCAGATCCTGTATTATGACATCGTGGCATTTCTTTGCGTTGGTTATGGCTGTGCATAGGGGAATTGAGGGTCTTTCTTCAATATCTGGGCCGCTTGTTTAGCTGCAGATATCAATAATAACCGTGGGTGAAAATTTTGGCGGTGCATACCTTCTAGGCTCCATGAGCGATCTTGCAATATCTCGGCGCGTATGGAAGGGATGGGGCTGTAGAAGATACAATGGACAGCCTGATTTGCCGCGCTGCTAAACATGGCTGAGATTTCATGCCACTCGGGGTCCATGCTGGAGAACTTGCACAGAGTTCTATGTGTCCGGTTCGGCGAATAAGTGACTTGCTTGGGACATTCTTTCAAGACAGCCGAGCTCTTATCGACAATCTGGGTCGCATTAGAAAGATACAAATTTCTTCATACTTTTCAGATGGTAAGGGCAAGGTTTATTCTTACCAACCCAACATTGACTCCCCCGACCACCTCATATATAGTCTCGCAGATCGTAAAGAACCTATACGCCTCGAGGAGAGGCCGGAATCGGGCATTGAGCGCATCATTATACGACGATTGCGCCTCGACAGCTCTTAAGAACGAATCGTTGACCTGGTTGTTGACACTGCGGATGACCCGAGCGGCTGTCTGCCCCCAGGAGGCGTGCTGGGAGCCGTAATGCGGAACGCCGAAGAAGAAAATCCCGTAGGTCATCGCCGATATTGAAGCATAGGTCTCGTCGCCATGGTAAGCAGTCGCAATGGCCTCTTTCACCAAAATCCCGCCCATGCTGTGTGTGATGAAGATTATCGGACGTGCTGGGGCTGCCTAGTAATGTTGCATTCAGATCGTTAGTCAATCAGGCTTATATGTTTTCACGCACGAGGTTGCGTTCTGGGATCCCAAAAACCTTTCGCTTGTTGGATAGACACAACAGCAAATTGTCAGCCTGCTCTTTTATGCCGGCTGCCGATGCTCCAAACAGGATGTTGGCATTGTAACAGTATGCCAGGATCCTTGCGTAAGGGACTACGCTTGGAAGAAGATCTCTAAGCCAGTTTGTGCCAGTCTCCTGGTCGGTCCAGGTATTCTCCGCATGGTCTGACCTGTTTGCGATGTTCATTCCATGAACTGCGACGATACTTGCAAAGAAAATTAGCAAGGTTGTGTAAGTGGTAACTAATCAGCGAATGTCGATAGACTCACTCCAGCCTCGTATTTGGCGGACAGACGACCTCCTTGAGCCAGTTTGCGTTTGGCGCTGGCTGCTAGAAAGAATATTAACCGTGATGTCAAGGTCTAGACTCAGGGAATAAAATACCATTTTTTTGGAAGCTAGGACAGTTTAACGACGAGGACCTCTAGGTATTCTGGAAAGTAAACCTAGCAGTCTCTCAAATATTTCGATCTCGGTCATGACATACCCCGCTCTCACCTAAACGCCCACGTGCCCCCGGCCAATTCGTAGTCGAATGCATGGTAAGAGCGAATCAAAAAGGGGCAGAATACCTTGCACGGGCGTGTGTTCGCTCAAAAGCAACGACAGCCAATCATTCATGGAGCAATCGGGCACGGAAGTGGTGACGGTTTGGCGTGGTCTGAATGGAATGACAGACGTTGATTGGCAATGGGTGTTCTGTTTCCCGTGGCATGTATATCCTGTTACATCTCGCTGTCTGCCATTTCGTTATCATATGCTGATGTTCACATAGGATGAATGGAAAGTACCACCTCTATGAGCTTCATAGTAAGTCTAACGACTCAGACTGGAAGATGAAGCTGATTGAAGAATTGGATCCGGGCAGGTTGGCTTCGTGCATAAACGCGCAAGGCATCTTGGTTTCCTGTAGTGGATCGGAAACAGAAAAAGCATGGGTTTTTGATAAACCATACGATGGAGAGGAGTATACAAGTAAGTCCCTCAGCTCTCTCTGCAATTTCTCTAGGGACCTTGAACATCATACAGTGGGCTCACACTAAACTTAAACCTTGTAGAAAGACCTTTCGGGCAGCCAGGCGACATTGCGGGAGTCAGCAAACTGTGTGCTGTCAGTCGTTGGTTTGATGAGCCTCGCCTGTTTGGAATCTCCGATGGATATGTGAAGGAATTTCGGTATAACGAGTCTCGAACGCACATCGTCGGCACTCCTATCACGACCACCCGCAGTGTGAATCTTTCGCTGTCTGCGACGGTTCAACAGGATAGCCGTGACAGTCCCGAAACCATCATATTGGCTTATTTTCCGGACGATCAAGACATTATGGGGACATATGTTTGGACCAAAGCAGAGGGATGGAAACATGGACCCCAGATTCTCTAAGACGCTGAGGTAGTGCCCTCTCAGACCAGTAGTGACATTGCGTTCAAACAAGCCACGGGCCGGATGCCGCGTCTGAGAGTGCAGAGCCATCTCTCCAGGCTACATTGTTGATTCAATGTCGTTGTTGTGTATCTAGCTTTCGCGATGCACAGATCTTGCAGCAGAGTCTGAGGACCATTTCAGTAGAGTTGTATTTAGATCGTACGTTTATCCAGACAATAAGCATCGTATACTAGCTGTATTTAATCCGACAGGATTGCGATATTATCATGTCTATAGATAAGGTAACATTGTTGCCCTACTCCTTCCGGCCACCCCGGATGCATTGACGTCATCGATCTGCACTATCTCCGGCGCTGCAGACACAACGACACACAATACTCAGGGGGAATGGAACACAGTAAAGTGAATAATTCACTGCTTATGTAGATCTCCGTTTCACACAAAGAATCATCCATTCCAGAAACGGCAAATCGGGACGTATCCGGCACAGAGAAAAGCCCATTGCGCGGGTGCCGATTAGCCGTTGGACTGGCGAATGGATCTGGACCGCGACTTGTTTGTCCTTCCCAGCTGGAGACTCTGACGACATGGCCTGAGGGCTGACACGGTACAAAGTAAATATAAGTAGTGTGGATAGTACACTTTTTCATCCATTGAATTTTCTTATACTAGATAGTTCCCGTACCTTGCTTGGTAGAATTTCTCCCCTCTCCTCTCCTGTCCTGTGCTCTTAGTTGATAAGCTTCCATTGCTCCCCTCCTCTACTCCCTGGCTAGATAAGCTCCCAGAATGGCGGCACAAAAGCCCAAGTATCCCTTGGGTAAGATTGAACCCAACTCGGCCAAGTATTTCGCCAGTTGCACCCTCGGAGGAATCATTGGTGAGTACTCTGCCATCTAGCCCTCTTCGCATCACCGAGCTTCTATACTAACCACCTCAAACAGCCTGCGGTACGCATAACCATCCCATCTCCAACCACATCCACACCCACACCACCAATCCTAATCCCAATTTCTCCCCACAGGCCCAACCCACACAGCCGTCACTCCCCTCGATCTCGTAAAATGCCGCCGTCAAGTCGACCCCAAGATCTACACCTCCAACCTCTCCGCCTGGCGCACCATCATATCTAAAGAAGGTCTGCGCGGCATCTTCTTCGGCTGGACCCCCACCTTTGTCGGCTACTCCTTCCAAGGCGCCGGTAAATACGGCTTCTACGAATACTTCAAATACCTCTACGGAGACCAGCTCTTCCCGAATGCGAACCGCACCGTCGTCTTCCTAGGCGCCAGTGCCTCGGCCGAATTCTTCGCTGATATGGCCCTCTGTCCGATGGAGGCCATCAAGGTACGCATGCAGACGACGCTGCCGCCGTTTGCGCATACATTGCGCGAGGGATGGAGCAAAATCGTGGCGCAGGAGGGCATGTCGGGCTTGTATAAGGGGTTGTATCCGTTGTGGGCGAGACAGATCCCCTATACCATGACGAAGTTTGCGACGTTTGAGGAGACGGTCAAGTATATCTATAAGACGTTGGGCAAGCCCAAGGAGCAGTTCAATGGGTTGCAGCAGACGGGGGTCAGCTTTTTGGGAGGTTATATTGCGGGAATCTTCTGTGCCATTGTCAGTCACCCGGCGGATGTTATGGTGAGTAAGTTGAATGCGGATCGTAAAGGTGAGTTATCCTGTTTTCTTTTTCATTATTATCGTTTAGGGTGTTTAGGGTTATGGCTGATGATGTTTAGCTGGTGAGGGAGCTATGACTGCTGTGTCGAGGATCTATAGCAACATTGGGTTTTCGGGCTTGTGGAATGGACTGCCTGTGAGAATTGTCATGCTGGGTACATTGACTGGATTCCAATGGTTGATGTAAGTGATGATGATGCTGTGATGAGACTGAGGGCTGGATGCTGACGCAGATATATAGTTACGACTCGTTCAAGGTGTTCCTTGGGTTGCCGACTACTGGTGGGCATTAGCGTGATGTTTACTTCTTTGCACGGATAGATCCGTCTTCTTCTCGTGAACAGTAGCTTTTAGGAGTTAGTGGAATGTAATGACGATAACGAAGCTTAGTGTTTTGTTCATTGAATACTAGTAGTGTAGTGTTATACCCCAGACTCCGCTGACCGCCCAACACCCCGACCGGCAGAACGTGACTGGCTCTGCTTCTGCTTCGGCTTCAGCTCCGACTTGATTCTCGTCCCATCCATTCCTCTCAGATCCGCCTCGCTGCCATCCAATTTACCTCGGGGAATCCCTTCTCATTCATCAATCACCCTGGGTAATCTTTTTACCTGTTCGAAGTCACTCGCGCCCCCCCACTATAACTCCCCCCCCCCCCTAATCGCGCATTTCCGAACATCCTAAATCCATCCCCAACCTCTTCGCTCCTCCGACATCCCTTGACCATCAGACCAACACCACAACAACACTCATCAATCGCACCACTCAATCCCACCATCATCTACCTCTCGCTAACCACACCACCCCCGACCACAATGGAAGAAGCCCGCCAACCCTCGACAACCTCCAACCCTCCCAGCGTCGAAAACGCCTACAAACGCAAATGCCTGGCCCTAAAGAAGCGCCTCAACGAAATCGAAGAGGAAAATGAATTGATGCGTCTCCGCAACCGTCGCGGCTGGCAATACATCCAGAAAATGCGCCTCGAGTCATGCATTCTCCTCGAGCGACTGGCCAAGGTCACCGGCATGACGGAGGAAGCGCAGGCCGGCGTGAACCCGGAACTGCGCGCCCGAGCATCAGCCATGATGACGAATGTCGCAGCAGTGACGGGTGGAGAGACGGGGAAGAATGGTGCTGCCGGCGCGCCGCAGTTCCTAGAGGACGAGACGGAGGGGAGTTCCGATGAGCAACCGCCTACTGTAAGTTCTACCTTTTCCTCTACCGTCTTTGGTAATATTTAGGGTTTGAAGGTTCGCTAATGGTAATGGATGTGATTATGTACAGCCCCAGGAAAGGCCTCTGCGCGTGAAGCGATCCAGGAAATCCAACTTGCCCAATGATGCCAATTTAGAGGATGAGGCAGCGAACAATGAGAACAACAATGACAGCAACAGCAAAGATAAAGAGAAGGAGAAAGACGCCAAGGATAAGGATGCGACGGAATCTGGCGCCGCAGCAGCTGATGGTGATAACGGTAATGGAGATTCGTCGTCCTCGTTGCCGCGACTAGCCCCCGCCCCGTCGCAGGATGATATGACCTCGTCATTCCGCGTTCAACCGGGTAGTAACGGGTCCGCGAATGATAAGGAGGGTGCTACTAGTGATCGCGGGAGCCATAACCCTGAATCTGCGGAGCAGAGGGGTGATGGTGGTGTGGAGGATGAGACGACGCCGATGGATATGGATGCCAAGGAAGAGGAGGAGGAGGAAGCAAAGGAGGAGAGGGAGGGTTGATTATCGAACTTATACCATAACCGTACCCTAGACTTTTCTTTTCTTTTTTTTACTTTATTTTTTTACCTTTATATGGACTGTTTTCGTTTCCTTTCGTGGTGGTCTATTTTTTTTCTTCTTCCCTATGTGCTGTTCTGGTAATGGGTGTTACTTCATCGTCGGGTTATATTTCGTCGTCTTCGGGGTTTGGGGCCTTGTTTTTCTGGGCCCCTCTTCTATCCTCCCTCTTTAACTCTTCTTATGTGTTCTATAGTATACGATGGGCAAAAAAGCGTTATTATTTCTTTCTTGTGTGTGTATGTGTAAGAGGGGGAAGTATGGATACCTGCCTGCTTCATTATAGAATAGTCAGCCTTTTGCTCTGTGTAACCAGTAGATACTAGTATATGTGCATCGATCATCATGTCTCGCCATAAATACTTGAATATCACATGACACAAGGCCAGACAGATGATGGTTCTTGTACGGGAAAGCCCTTTCAGGACGAGATACCGACTCTGGAGCAATCAATGGGTGTAATATACAGCATAAGAGAAGCTATCGTGCTTTGCCGGGAAAGTTGATACTAGATACTAAATATAGATAGATAGATAGGTATTGTCCGTAGCGATGCAAGGAGGGCTTTGCTTTGATAATTCCCACTTTCACTCCTGTTCCCATTTAAATGACACATGTATGCCCGAACCCCTAAACTCCGCTGAAGCGAACGAATACTGAAAGAGAACACTCAGTGTGGTATGGTGTGATGTCATGGTGATGGGGCTGTAGATGTATAGCAAAGGGTGTTATTGGGTGATGTAAACAAGGCAAATAGTAGTAGCAATGGTTAGTAGAAAGGGTAGGTAGTGTTCACTCCACGCCAGCGTACAAGTCAACTACGATGTTGATGGCTGCGACTAGAATTTCTGCCGCAATGAGAACAATTACTGTGACGTGTGTTAGTTGATCAGAACAGGTTGATGCAGGGGGTGAGAAGGTGCTTACCGATCCATTCAAGATACTCACCGTGGCGGTGAGTTAGTTGATCTTTGAGGACGGCGAGAAGATCCGCTATCACGTCCAACCGCTCAGTGAGCAGGCTTACACGCTGGTCCATTTCAAGGTAGCTGCGGACGGCCTGGTAAACCGGTTCTAGTTGGGGCTCGGCCCACATGAGTTCTGGAGAGTCTAGAACCGAGCCTTGCAGGTGGATGTTGATCCGTAGGATGAACAATTCGCCGATTTGCATGTTGATCTGGCGTCGGGTGAGATTAACACTGCCTGTCTGGGCGATCTGAGCAGGTAGGGGTGCGGTGTTGGAGATGGTCTCAGATACGAGGTCTTCGAATAGGGAGGTCTTGACGGATTGGGCCAATGCGTGGGAGATGGCCAGTTTGATCATGTGGTTACGCGGGTCGCGCAGAGAGATGAAGTCGTTGTATATCCGGGCTTGATATTCGCGAGCATAGTAGAAATTGAAGTTCTCGACCTGGGTATCTTCGGGACTGAGGATGGAAGCGGCAAACTTGGAAACATCGGATAGGAATCGTGACTCGTGTGCAGGTGACATGCCCCATATTACGACGGTGCCGTAATCGAACAGGAACACTTCAGGGGTATGGATCGTCGTGTCGAAATCGGGATGTACATCTCCTTGGTGGTCCGACACGGCAGTAGTCGAAGCATGGTCCATATCGGTGGCGTGGGATTGAGAGTCCTGTAGGTCTATGAGATCTTCCCGCCGAGAGTTGGTATTATCCTGGACCTC